TGTAAGGTGATTGTCTTTGAGTGTAGTTCGAGGACTGGCGGTTGGGAGGGAACTTTTTGTCGTTTTGTTTACTTGTCGAAGTTTCTGATTATTTAATATAAGCAACTTTCTTTATGATAAAAAAAGTTTGTTATCGTTGATCAAGAAAAATCAAATAGGTCAAGTTTTATTGGACAAAAAGAGTATTGCATTTATTATTGTAATATTACATTTATTACGATAAGAATTATTCAATGCTGCCCAACCACCCCATTGACCACCTCAACCATCACCGCCACTGATGCCATAATCACCGTCGTCGTGCCAATAGTGATAGTGAAATCTCTTATATTAATCATGTGGTGATTACATAGCTCTTTAACCCGTTAGTGACTATGTTATTACTTACTACCACGTACACATTCCGTCGATTGTGTTTTTTTGGTACAAGTCATGGGGCATGAGACTGTGGCTACAGTGAAATATGTTTGGTGAATTGGCGATCCCGTTGTATGTTTGATTATAGTCAGTGCAACTAAAGTTACAGTCACTGTACACTAGAATTAGGGTTTTGTTGCTGCGAAGGTCGCTATAGTTCATGTGACACAGTTATGACTTAAGTGTCTGTGGCTAAGGAGACTTTGATAGTAATTGTATTTTGGCAGCGGTAGGTGCGATAGTGTCGGCGGCAGGTGCGATAGTGTCAGCGGTAGGTTCGGTGGTGGCGACAGCGACTGTCGATGGGGGGTAGTAGGACACTGTTGGGTGGATGGGTGGGAGATGGGTAGTAGGAAATTAATTACTTGTTATTATTAATATGTAATATTATAAAATTAATGTGGAGGGAGTAATTAAAATTGATGAGTCGCTTTTAAAAAAAAATAAATGAGTCATATTTTAGAAATTGAAAACACTAATAGTAATATTGTTGTTGCGAAGGTCGCTATAGTTCATGTGACACGGTTATGACTCAAGTGTCTGTGGCTAAAGGGACTTTGATAGTAATTTTATTTCGGCGGCGGCGGGTGCAATAGTGTCGGTGGCAGGTGCGAGTGTCAGTGGCAGGTGCGGTGGTGGCGACGACGACGACGACTGTCGGTGGATGGGGTAGTAGGACATTGTTGGGTGGATGGGTTGGAGATGGGTAGTAGGAAATTAATTACTTGTTATTATTAATATGTAATATCATACTCCGTATAAATTAAAGTGGAGGGAGTAATTAAAATTGATGAGTCGCTTTTAAAAAAATAAAATGAGTCATATTTTAGAAAAGGAAAACACTAATAGATGAAAATGGTGTCTTCTATTCTGAGAAAATTGTCATAATAATAATTTTGAACCTTTATAGTTTATACATGGTGTGCAAAATATCTACTTAAATGGTGTACATCTAACATTGTTGATAAATTTACTTCTAGAGTTTCACTAAATTTTCTTTATAAGATAAATAGGTCTTTTATTAACATTATTTTCAACTTATTAGCCTTATGAGTCAACATTTTTATCCAATGCTTGGTTTTTTTATCTCGCGTTGAATTAGGAAATTTACAAAAGAAGTAGGTTATTTTTCTGACCGAAGTTATCGCAGATGATCCTTTCAATTAGGGGTGGGCGCGATCTGGAACGGTCCGGTAAATATATTGGTAAAACCCGTAATGTATCCGTGGGGTTTTTAACGGTCCAGTCCGGTCCGGTTCCAAGGAAAGAACCGTTCGGTACCATGTTGTTTCGAAACGGTACAAAACGGTACGGTACAATGCGAAACACATGCTAAAAAATTGAACAAAACTTGCAATTAGTACATATCATCACACCAACCAACTCACGTGAAATGTTGATATAAATACAAGAAATTGCATACGTAGTACTAATATTCACAAATAGTGCAACACAACTAAGAAAAATTATAGCAAAACGCAGGGCCGGTTAGAGCAATTATGAGGCCCTAGACGGTCATGTAGAAATTTTGTTTTAAATATGTTTTATTTAACCCAATGATATAAAAAATAGCAATTAAATATAAGTAAATTACATATAAAATACATCATATACTATTAACACAGTGAGAATATTCTTCGAAATCAGAAGATCAAAGTTGATGAAAAAATACAAAGAGCCCTAGAGGGAGAAGGTTTTGTGCTTACATACAACATACCGATCGATAGAGCCGGAAAGTGATTTCATGACCAAATCATTTCTTAATTTTTTTCTTTGTCTTTGTACATCTTGATTCATATTTTGTTTTCCAATCATCACAAAACATAAAATTTCATTCAAAATAATACTATCACTAAATATAAGTTAATGGTTCATAGATATAAATTTAATTCAATAAATTTAATCAAATATAAAAAATTATAAGTATGTTCAATATTTCGATGAATCAAAATAACAAATTACAATTTCAATTATTCAATAAGCATTCAAATATATTTAGAATACTCATTATCCTAAATCCCTAGCCCTACTGCCCTAGCCAACAAAGAAAAAAAAGGAAAAAGGAGCAAATAAACTCACATACTAACCAAAAAGGTCAAATAAGCCCTTGTATAAGAGACTTTGTCCCGCCGTCGCCATTTGGGGCAGTTCTCGGTGGAATTTTTTGATGAATTTTTTTGAGAATCTTATTCATTAAGTCTTGTTTACTTATACCAAATTTCAGCTAACAATTCAACATGGGAGGCATTCAAATAAATTCTTGAAGATAACTGCGCAGTTATCTTCAAGAATTCATTTGAATGTCTTCCCGATTGAATTTTTAGGTGAAATTTGGTATGAGTAAACTAGATATAATGAACAAGATTCTAAAAAAAATCATCAAAAAATTACAAAGGAAACTATCCCAAATGTTGATGGCCGGACAAAGTCTCCTAAATAATATTAATAAGCTTATTTTATAAATTAGAGGCCCCTAAAATTTGGAGGCCCTAGACACTTGTCTAGGGTAACTCCCCCTATGGCCGGCCCTGGCAAAACGATGACGCACAGGATAAATATCATCTTTAGTTTACTAAGTTCATGTGAAAATATAAAAACGAATATCATTAAATTGTTGAATATGATAGAAATCGTCAATGTTCTTCTTCTTCGTTCTAGGTTAAATATTACTCCGTAGTTCTAATTTAATTTATAGTTGAACCTTTAGAGCTAAGATTTAAACCATATTAATTAAGTTGTAAAAATTGCACAAACATGATACAACAAAAAGTCATGGACATTACATTACTTGAAATGAATAGTCATTAATGATTTCTAAAATTTTAATATTCTTTCAATACATACCAAAGTATAACATAAATTATCTAAAAAAAAAAATAACAATATATATATATATATATATATATAAACACACATTTAGATATCTTATGAATACATACTTGGGCTATAAAATTGTTGGTCTATAAAAGAGATTTATTGGTATAGAAAAAATATAAAAAATTCAAATGCATTATTTTCGAACGGTTCAGTCCGGTATTTTTGGGTTCTCAAAATCTAGGACCGGTCTCGTACCCGTTTCAAACGGTACGGTTTCGGTACGGGATAAAAATCTATAGAACCGTTTAAATACCCGATATTCGGTCGGTACCATTACGGGACGGTTCGGTACCGGTTCGGTTCGGGTTTTATGCCCACCCCTACTTTCAACTAGTTTTCATGTAATATTTTTTATTATGAAAAATCTTTCAATAAAACTTTCATAAATATCAACAAATTGAGCCTAATTGAAACAATAAGAATATTATCAAACGTACCCCACGTTTGGGATAAGTCTCAGGTGGTAAGCGCCAAAGTCAACATGACCATTTCCAAAAATGACGTAAAATTACTGCCGTTACTAATCGGTCTCTCCCTCTCTTACTATAAACTGTGCACTCCCTCTGTAACCCTCCACCGCCAACTTCTTCATAGTCTACTAAAACAGAAAGCATACTCCATTTTTATTTGCTCCATTCCAGATACAAAGAACAGCCACAAGAGTTTCAAGGAAATGGCGAATGATCAAGACCCAGCACAGCCCTTCATGATGCTGGACGACCCTTTCACTGGTGCAGATCAGTTTGCAGAGAGCTCATCGTCTGCTTCTTCATCCTCACAGCAGCCGGCTGACGACATGTACCTGGTGGGCTTCGTGACGGCCAACATTTTGTGCCTCAGACACTACCCCAACGGCGTCATCACCGGAGAATTGGTGAAGCTTGTCCGTCAACCATTCAACCCCTGTGACTTCCATGCTATCCAAGTGCTCAACCTTTGCAGCGAAGAGCTCGGCCACATCGAGTCCTCCGCCGCCCGAGTCTTATCTCCTCTCATGGACAATGGGATTATCATGATCCAAGGTATATCTATGAATCTACGATGATTGGTGTCAATTTTGCCATTCTTTGATGTTTTTAAGGATCACAGTCTGTGTCTTGTTTTTTGGTTAAACTCTGCATTTACTTGTGTTGGTGATGGAATAGGTGTTATGCCAAAGATGTACTGGGAAGGATACAGATATCAGATCCCATGCCAAGTTCACATCTTTGCCAAGATATCTGCATTCACAACTGTCAAATCCATAATTCAAACTGCTAGGTTGCACTTCATTTCTGTAAATGACCCTTCTATGGCTTTATCAGAGTTACCCATTGTGACAGAACATGTGAATGCAGCTGTGAGGAGAAGCGTAGATGAGATTTTTAAGCTTCTTGGTGAGAAGGAAGCTTTGGGGACATTAGACCCTCCAAATGCCATTATAAAGTCTGAACTTCTTCCACACCAGAAGGAAGGATTATGGTGGCTAGTCCAGCAGGAGAAAGCCAAATATTTGCCTCCTCTCTGGGAGGAAAGAGATGGGCTTTTTGTCAATGCTTTGGCAAACTACTATACGGAGAACTGTCCTGATCCTATCCGTGGTGGGATCTTCGCAGACGAAATGGGTTTGGGTAAAACCCTCACTATTCTTTCATTGATTGCTTTTGATAAATTTGTAGTTTTGGAGGAAATGGAAGATATACCCGTTTTTTCTATTGGTGAAAGCTCTGAGAGTGGGCGAGCTAGCGAAGAGACCATGAAAGAAATGTGTTCTAACATGGTCTGTTCTTCACATACGAGAACGACTTTGGTTGTGTGTCCGCCAACTGTGCTTTCAGTGTGGATAACACAGTTAGAAGAACACACTAAAGTTGGTTCTTTGAAGGTGTACATGTACCATGGTAGCAAGAGGACTAAAGATGCCAACGTCCTTCAACAGTATGATTTGGTTTTGACAACTTATAACACTTTGGCTAAAGAACATGAGTTGTTGGACTCACCAACGAAACTGATAGAGTGGTGGAGAGTTGTTCTTGATGAGGCACACGTGATTAAGAATGAAGATTCTAAGCAGAGCCAGGCCGTTAACAACTTAAAAGCCAAATGCAGGTGGGTTGTGACTGGGACTCCAGTTCAGAATAGCCCATTTGATTTGTATGCTTTTATGGCATTTCTTAAGGTTGAGCCTTTCTCTGTCAAGAACTACTGGAATAGTTTGATACAACGTCCCCTTTTACATGGAGATCAGATGGGAATTTTGAGGCTTCAGGTAAAAGCAGTTCTCTCACTTCTAACCTTTGTTGGATTTATCTCTTCAGCGTGATGTTTTGCATGCGGAGCTTTAATTTTATGTTATACTAGTTCAGCTATATGAGTTTGAAAGTTATTGTTTACAACTGCATTGCATTTTCCATTGCTTTTCTCAACTGGTAGTTAGGACTATTATCGGATGTAATCGCCTAATCATCGTTTGGATCAAGATCAGCATTATGTTCAATTTTCCCCAAGTCCACAACCATATATCGAGGCCTTGAGGGAGAACGTGCAGGTTTTACGAAATAGTAATTTAAAACCTTGAAAGAGTATTTTATTTCATTGAAGTTCCAAAGGTTTTTTTGACCTGAAAGTTTACAAAATTTTTATTAACCTTTCACAATTAATTAGGAGCATGTTACTCATCCAGTGATCGAACTCATTGTGTTTGCAAATTCATAAAGGTTTTCATGAGTCTTAATAAATAAAAAATAATAAGAACAACGGCTCGTTCTTTCTGTGCACTCTTTGTCGAGTCTTACATTACAGTATGTTTTCTTTTCCACTTCTGTTGCTATATTACAATTATGCCTGTCTTGGAAAAACTTTGTGGTTGGGTAGATTTCTAACTGTTAGTGAATTTGTTTTTTCCATATCAGGCTCTAATGGACACAATGTCATTGAGAAGAACAAAAGATAAAGCACAAGTTGGATTGCCAACAAAAATTATATGGACATATTATGTGGAACTCTCTGATAAAGATAGGGAAGTTTATGATCAGATGGAATATAAAGCAAAGCAAATTATTCAGAACTATATTTCTGAGGAAAGTTCAATGAAGAATTATTGGACTGTATTGAGTGCACTTGTGCGCCTCCGACAAATATGTGCAGATGTGTCCCTGCTTCCCGCGGACCTTCGAGATATACTTCCAACATCTCAAATTGGAGGTAACCTGAGTTTGATCCCCCTGCTGTCTTCTCTTTGCTTGCATCATTTTTACTTTTATTCTATGTTGGGTTTAAGCATTTCTCCAGTTGAGGATTTCAGCGTTTTTTCATTTAATTACTTCTACTTCTGCTGAGGGTTGATCACATTAGTAAATATACCATATGTCAACTTAGATTTCCATAGATGGTATACTGTTACTCCATTTGGTATGAGTGTTTCAGGACTAAATTACTCAACACTAGTTCCAAGGATTTGTTTCTTAAAAACATAAACATGTTAATCTATGAGATGTATTAAAAGTAGAACACTTAAGTCCATAACACTTAATTCCAACTAATGTCATTATATCCTATCATAATATTGTGCCAAAGGTGTTTTGCTGAAATTTTGTCTGCTCAAACAGGTTTATTTAATTTGCAAACTTGACAAACTTTTGGGGTTATTTGATAGTATGACCAAACTTCAACCTCCATTAAGCCTTTAAAAAGAACGCTGTTGAGGATGTTCTAAATGGAAAACATGGTCAATTAGAATCATGAAGGGATAAATAACAATAACAAATAAATCATATTTGAAGAATGAAGAGTCTGAAACAAAAAACTGCTATATATATGAAGGAAAACATATTTGAGCCTTTTACTTTTTTGTTAATCAATGTGATATGCTCATTGTGGCTGAAACAGATGTACAGAACAATCCAGAACTGCTCTCTAAGATGCTAATGGCACTACAGGATGATGATGGCATTGACTGCCCAATTTGCATATCACCCCCAAACGACACAGTCATTACATGCTGTGCTCACATCTTTTGCAAGATGTGCATCCTCACGACACTCCAGCAAAACAATCCGAGCTGCCCAATTTGTCGCCATCCGCTCACGGCGTCCGACCTCTTCTTCGCACCATCTGAGGCTGCCCCCGCATCAGACCGTGAAGGAAACGGCCCATCCACAAAAGTCACTGCCCTTATCAAACTTCTCCATACAGAACGGGAGCAGGACCCGACAGCAAAATCAGTAGTGTTCTCCCAGTTCAGAAAGATGTTGCATTTACTTGAAGAGCCACTGAAAGCGGCGGGCTTCAAGATACAACGGTTGGACGGGTCGATGAACGCAAACAAACGGGCCCAAGTGATAAGGGAGTTCAGTATTCCGGCACCCGAAGGAGCCACGGTCCTACTCGCAAGCCTTAAGTCATCGGCAGCTGGAGTAAACCTCACAATGGCTTCAAGTGTTTACTTGTTTGATCCGTGGTGGAACTCGGCGGTCGAGGAGCAGGCCATGGACCGTGTGCATAGGATTGGCCAAAGGAAGGAGGTGAGAATTGTGAGGATGATTGCACTTGACACCATTGAGGAGAGGATATTGCGGCTGCAAGAAAAGAAGAAACTTTTGACTCAGGAAATTTTCAGGAAGAAGCAAAGCTCCCAAGATCAAAGGGATATAAGCACAGATGACCTCATTACCTTGATGCAATTGTGATTCAATTCAAACAGTTACATAGATGGTAAATCCTCTTCTCAGCCTCTTCCTCACTGCCATCAACTTTGGCTAGGATTTTGATTGTGGGTTTTCGACGCCTATATTGTGTGTAAACATGTCTCATTGAGTTTTGTGAAGAAATGAAACTCGGCTGTAAACTAATGTAGCAGTTTTGTAGAGTTAGAAGTATTAATTCCAAATTTGGTAATTGATCATAATAATTTTTTTCTTGTGAACAACTTTTAAGTTCTCTGATTTGATTGTTTGAAAACATCCAGTATTTGTGGAACATATCTTTATAACAAACCATAAGAGTCCAATCATCCAAATATAATATGAACTATTAGGTACTAATTTTGATGAATAACCGATCTCAAAATTTTAAATTTTAAGCTTTAATTTGTACATAAACTTGGTTGTAATTTGTATGAGGAGGTTGGTTAGCGATGGTTGAAGTTTGATTGACGATTTTGAGGTGAGAGAGGATATATTTTTGGATTCAGTAGTGAGTGAAAGAGCCAAAAAAAAATTAAGAGCCAAAAGGTATGTGTCAAAGAAGAATGATTATGGCTTATAACGATAATGATAAGGAAATCAATCTTTAATTAAAGTGCATTCTAAACTGATTGCATTCGAACGATGCAGTTAAAAGTAATTTATTTGATATTTAATAAAATTTTCAGTATAGTATTAAATTGAAAATAAAAAAAAAATGTGAAGGAAACAAATAAGAAAAAATTGAAAATAACAATCTCAATTATTGTTGGTGCGCTGTAAATAATCTCAACTATCGATTATTTCTGCGTGATCGCAACTATTGGGACCATTTTGAAAAAATTGTCCCTAACAAGCTATAACTTGTTATAGTGCGTCAATTTTAAATGCGAACTGTGTGTAATCTGTATATGTTCTCAACTATAGTCAATCTTTTAATGTTAATCCCAATTATTAACTCTCAATTTTTGGAAGATATAGAAATATTTTTAAAAATTTCCAATCTAAATATTTTTAAACATGTAAAAAAAATAAGAAAGTTAAATGAAATAAATTTTAGTCGTTTTTTGATTTATTTTCTCCAAAATTTTAGTTATTTCCTTTTTCCAGTTTGTTTTACCTAGTTGTGCTACCGATTTATGATTTTGTATTATTTTCCTTTAGTCAAATTTACATTTTCGGTTATCAAAAAGTAAACTTTGCTTAAAAAATTTACGCTTTAGAGATTTATTCTAGCTTTTTCTATATTTTCCATTTTGGTATTTTTACTTTTTTATGTTTTTTTTATTTTATATTATTATATTCTATAGATTACATGATATATTTTATCATTTAGTTTAATGATTTGGGGTATAATTAAGTTTAGGCTATTCTTAATGAATAGGTACTAATATTATAATTTTAAGGTATATAATGAAAATTGTGAAACATGTAGAGAGAGTGTGAACTTTTGGTAAACATTTTGGTAAACTTTTCATTATCATTTCAAGGTATTCACTCTTTTTCAACATTTTTTACAATTTCCACTATATCACTTAAATTATAATATTACTATTTTTTTATTAATAATAGCCAAAAATTTCCAAACATATACCCCAAATCACTAAAATCAAATGATAAACTATTTCGTATGATTTATATAAAAACATAAAAAAAGAATATAGAAATAAATTTAAAATACTAAAATAGAAAAAATAGAAAATTTAGGTTTTTAGAATTAAGATAGAAAAATAAATTAAATAAAATATATTTTCATAAAAAAGCTAGAACAAATATCTAAATCTTAAAATTTTAAATACAATTTACTATTTGAAAATAGGAAATGTAAAATAATTAAAAATAGTAAATTGGTAACACAACTAGGAAAGTAGAATTGGAAAATGGGGAGAAAATGAAATTTTAGTGGAAATAAATCAAAAAATGCCTAAAAATATTTTATTTAACTTTGATACATTTGTAGAATTCTCGTTATTATTTTTACATGTTTAAATATATTTAGTTTGGAAACTTATAAAAGTATTTCTATATCTTCCTAAAATTGAGAGTTGATAATTGGGATTAGTAAAAAGAGATTGACTAGAGTTGGAATTATTAATATTTTACGCATAGTTCACATTTAAAATTGACCTGCTATATCAGGTTGTAGCCGGCTAGGGACTATGTTTGGAAAATGGTCCCTGTAGTTGGGACCACATACTCAAGAATATAATGATCGATCGTTGAGATTATTAACAGCGGTTGGGCATTTGGAATTATTAATTTCAATTTTTCTAACAAATAATTCTTAACTAATGAATGATGAATTGAGATTGAATTTCAATTTTCAAACCAAGATTATGCAGATAAGTTTGTGAATAAGAATATAATAATTCACCAAATAAAATACTGATTA